AGGTAGGCATGAGGCAGGATCTGTCCCTGTGGGTCACAAAACACTGTCACTGACCCCCATGCTGTCCACAGGGGAGCTGTTGTACAAGGCACAGTCCCCAGATGAGGGAGCGCTGGTCACAGCTGCCAGAAACTTTGGCTTTGTGTTCCGGTCCCGCACGCCCAAGACCATCACAGTGCAGGAGCTGGGCCAGGCCATCACCTACCAGCTGCTGGCCATCCTGGACTTCAACAACATCCGCAAGCGCATGTCTGTCATCGGTGAGCTCCTGGGCACGGCACAGGGGCTGGGAGGGGCACATGGGGCTGCAGCACATGGGGGTCATTGTGGTGTGCTGGGGGAGCGGTGCAGCACTGGTGGGGATGTGACTGTGGAGGCATCAGCAGGTGGATGGCTGGGGGTCAGAGCAGCAGATCCTGCTCCTGCACCCCTGAGGCAGGCATCTTCTCTTTTCCCCTCCTCCCTGCAGTGCGCAGCCCTGAGGGCAAGATCCGACTGTACTGCAAAGGTGCTGACACCATCCTGCTGGAGAGGCTGCACCCCCTCAACCAGGAGCTGACCAGCATCACCACCGACCACCTCAATGTGCGTGGGACAGGGTCCTGCAGGCAGCGTGGGGAGCAAAGAGTGGCTGCCCAGGAGCCTGAGCTGGGCTTGTGCCCTGCCCTAGGAACACTGCTGGGCTCTGGGGACACACTCAGGGTCTCCAGCACAGCCAGCTCTGACCTCTTGCAGGAGTATGCTGGCGAGGGGCTGCGGACACTGGTGCTGGCTTACAGAGACCTGGAGGAGAGCTACTACAAGGACTGGTCTGAGAGGCTGCACCGAGCTGGCAGTGTCCCTGAAGCCCGTGAGGATCACCTGGCTCGGCTCTACGATGAGGTGGAGCATGATATGATGGTAGGTGGGCTGGAGGCTGAGGCTGGTGGTGGCTGCAGGCAGCCCCTGCTGACCTCCCACCCATTTGGGTCCCCAAGCTGCTTGGAGCCACGGCCATCGAGGACAAACTGCAGCAGGGGGTCCCCGAAACCATTGCCATCCTGACACTGGCCAACATCAAGATCTGGGTGCTGACAGGGGACAAGCAGGGTGAGGCATGGCTGAGGTGCTGGCCGGAGATGAGGATGTTTGTGGGCTGGATTCCACCTGCCTGGGATCCACTGCTCTCTCCTGAATGGACTCTGGCTCAGCCCCTGGTTTCCTGTCCTCAGAAACAGCTGTGAACATCGGCTACTCCTGCAAGATGCTGACAGATGACATGACAGAGGTGTTTGTGGTGACAGGCCACACTGTGCTGGAGGTGCGAGAGGAGCTAAGGTGAGGGCTGGGGGGCAGAGGACACAGAACAGTGCCAGTGTGGGGCACAGCTGTGGCTGGGGGAGCTAGAGCTATGGAAAGGCCTTGAGATGGAACCTTGTTCCCCGTCTCTTCTCAGGAAAGCCCGGGAGAAGATGATGGATGCATCACGTTCTGTGTGCAATGGCTTCTCCTACCAGGAGAAACTCTCCTCCAATCTTACCTCAGTGCTGGAAGCCATTGCGGGCGAATACGCCCTGGTCATCAACGGGCACAGCCTGGTAGGGCCCTGGGAGTGCCAGGCAGGACAGGGCCTGGCTGTGCCACCACGGTCCCAGCTGTCCCTTGCTCTCCTTGCAGGCCCATGCACTGGAGGCAGACATGGAGGTGGAATTCCTGGAGACAGCGTGTGCCTGCAAGGCCGTTATCTGCTGCCGTGTCACACCCCTGCAGAAAGCCCAGGTGGTGGAGCTGGTCAAGAAGTACAAGAAAGCCGTCACTTTGGCCATTGGGGATGGGGCCAACGATGTCAGCATGATCAAGAGTAAGGCCTGGGATCTGGGAGACCACAGGAGAAGACAGGCCACCCCCTGCACTGTCCTGGGGCCCGTGGGAGCTTCTGTGCTCACCCCTCTGTGCCCCACAGGAGCAAAGTGCCTGTGCTGGGGGTGCTGCTCTCGTCCCCTGTGCTCCTGGCGGCCCTCTCTTTACCTGTCTCTCCTTCCCTCCACAGCTGCCCACATTGGGGTGGGCATCAGTGGGCAGGAAGGCATCCAGGCCGTGCTGGCCTCCGACTACTCCTTCTCCCAGTTCAAGTTCCTGCAGCGCCTGCTCCTGGTGCACGGGCGCTGGTCCTACCTGCGCATGTGCAAGTTTCTTTGCTACTTCTTCTATAAGAACTTCGCCTTCACCATGGTCCACTTCTGGTTTGGCTTCTTCTGCGGCTTCTCAGCACAGGTGGGTTGGTGGCTTTTCTCACTGAGAGCTGGGGAGGGTTTTCCTGCAGGGCTCCTCGGCTCTGAAGCGTGTTCAGATCCATGGACTCCCCGTGGGAACTCATCCTGAGCCAGGAGGCACAGCCTGGCATCCACCGTGCCGTGTGTGAGGAGCCTGTGGTCAGGGTGGGCAGTCCTGGTGGGCTGAGACAGCTCTCCTGTCCCTGCAGCTGTGGGCACAGGGACTCGGGGGCTGGCTGGGGCACAGGGTGGGCAGGTTTGTGCCCTGCTGAGTGCTCTGTTCCATACAGACAGTGTATGACCAGTACTTCATCACGCTGTACAACATTGTCTACACGTCGCTGCCTGTGCTCGCTATGGGTGTGTTTGACCAGGTATGGCGGGGGGTAGTGAGAGGTCCCTGGGTGTGTGAGGAGTCTGTACCCACCCTGTGGGAAGAAGGGCTGCCTGGGTGCCTGAGTCAGGCTGTCCATGTCATTCCATGGGCTGTGGTGGAGGCTGCTCCCACCCAGGGCTAAAGGGAGGTGCTCATGCCCCCAGGATGTGCCAGAGCAGCGCAGCATGGAGTACCCCAAACTCTACGAGCCTGGGCAGCTGAACCTGCTCTTCAACAAGCGGGAGTTCTTCATCTGCATTGCCCAGGGCATCTACACCTCCATCCTCATGTTCTTCATCCCCTACGGTGTCTTTGCTGATGCCACCCGTGATGATGGTGCCCAGCTGGCCGACTACCAGTCCTTCGCCGTCACTGTCGCCACCTCCCTCGTGATTGTCGTCAGTGTGCAGGTAGGGACGTGGCGACTCTGCCCCAGACCCTCAGGGCACCTCAGGCACCCCCTGAGCCCTGATTCTTCCTGCATCCCCCCCACCAGATTGGGTTAGACACAGGATTCTGGACGGCCATCAACCACTTCTTCATCTGGGGCAGCCTGGCCGCCTACTTCACCATCCTCTTCACCATGCACAGCGACGGCCTCTTCCGGATGTTCCCCAACCAGTTCCGCTTTGTGGGTGAGTCCCTGTGTGCCCCCTACTCCCCCAGCAGGCTGCTGCCTTGGCCTGGCCCTCACTGGGTTCATTCCTTGCCCCAGGAAACGCACAGAACACGCTGGCCCAGCCCACGGTCTGGCTGACCATCGCCCTCACCGCCGTCGTCTGTATCGTGCCCGTTGTGGCCTTTCGCTTCCTTAAGCTGGACCTGAAACCAGAGCTCTCGGATACGGTGAGAGTTCATGGCTGCAGGAGCTCTCACAGGGCCCCATCCCTGAGGAGAGGGGGTTCCCCAGGCCCTGAGCCTGCCCTGTGTCCCCAGGTTCGTTACACTCAGCTGGTACGGAAGAAGCAGAAGACGCAGCACCGGTGCATGCGGCACGCGGGGCGCGCGGGCTCACGCCGCTCTGGCTATGCCTTCTCCCATCAGGAGGGCTTCGGGGAGCTCATCATGTCTGGCAAGAACATGAGGCTCAGCTCCTTGGCACTGTCCAGCTTTGCCCCCCGCCCCAGCGCCAGCTGGATTGACACCCTGCGGAAGAAGAAGGGTGGCGAGGGCAGCAGCGCTGGCAGCCCCAGTGGTGCGGCCGACAAGACTCTCAGGGTGTGAGGCTGGAGGGGGTCACATCCCCTCCTGTGCAGCTGGGGGCTCCCCTCCTCTGCCCCTGGCCCTGGCGAGGGCAAAGCCCCTTGTCAGCAGGGTCCCATGATAGAGGTGATGTGGGGGCCAGTGCTGAGGTTTGGAGGAGTCTGGACTGTCGCCTTCTAGCCAAAAATACAGTCTGTCCCTCCGAGGAGGATGGATGGATGGATGGATGGATGGATGGATGGATGGATGGATGGATGGATGGATGTCATCACATCAGGCCCCTCCCACCCCCCATTCACTCCTCCATCAGTATTCAATCCCACTGAGTGCAAACTCCCCATCGCACATGAATGTATCCTACCAGAGGTGCAGGGCTGTGGGAGGACTGTGGCCTCTCCATGGCCTTCACCCACGTGTCTTTTTTTATATATAAACAAAAAAAAAAATACCCCCCCCCAAAAAATAGCAACCAAAACAAACAAACAAAAAAAAAAGGTAAGGGAAAAATACTCTGAGTTTACAAAGCGACTCATTTCTTGGCTGGGTACAGGGAGAAAGGGGGAGGAAGGTCACCCTCCTCAGCGTTCCCCAGGACGGCGGGTGCCGGGTCGGAAAGGGGAAGTGCTCTGTACCACAGGGAGGCCGGGGTTTGGCGGCTGCCGTGATTCACTCCCACGCGTGGTCTTGCGCAACGCTCGGCCTCTGCTTCCCCCCTCCTCCTCCTCCTCCTCCTCCTCCTCTCCAGCTCCTGCGGGACCGCACTGCTGAAATGTGGGTGGGCAGCGGGGACCCAGAGGAGCCTCTGGGGCTGCTGGGCTCCCAGGGACGCGATACCAAAGAGGAGCTTCTTAAGACGGGTGTTGGCGAGGGCTGGAGGGGATTTTGAAGGGTTTTGGGGTTGTTTCGGTGGAGGGGCCGTGGATAGAGCTAGATAACTTATGGCACGTTTCTATCTGGCCGAATGGTATTATTTTATGGTTCTTGAACGAAAAAAACCAAAAAAACCAAAACAGCTTTTTTTTTTTTTTAATTTACAAAAAGAAAATGTTCTGAGCAGATCGTGCCGTGTCCCGTATCCGGGGGAGGGGGGGAGGGCACGGCGGCGGTCCCGGGCGGCGGGGGCAGGGACGGGGCGGTGTTGGCCCGCCCGGCCCGGGGCGCACGTGCCGCTCCGCCCCCGCCGCTTTCACAACCCCGCCGCCGCCGCCGCCGATGTTTTCCTATCCGGGACCGGGCGCATGGCGCGGCCGCCGGGGCCGCTTCTCCTCCTTCTCTTTCCTCTCCGCTTCCTCCTGCACCTCTCCGCCGCCGCCGGGCGGCCCTGCGGCCCCGCTGGTGAGTGCGACCGGCTCCGGCCGGGGCGGGAGCTGGGCTGGCCCCGAGCTTCTGCCGGTACCTGGGCCTCGTGGGTCCGGGCACGGCCAGGGGACACACGGGGATCCGTGCCGGCCCCACAGCAGCTCAGCCGGGCACGGGGGAGGCGGGCGGGGGGTGGTACGGGACCCCTGGGCAGTGGGGGCTCGGGCTGGGTGCAGTGTCCCGATGCTGTGTCCCGGTGTTGTGCTGTGTGCCAGTGCTGGGTCCCGGTGCTATATCCCGGGTGCTGGTGGGTGCTGGGTGCTGTATCCCGGTGCTGTGTCCCGTCCCGGGTGCCGGTGGGTGCTTCGTGCATTCCCAGCAGCAGGAGCCGAAGGGAACAGCAGGTTCACGCTGGCCACTGACCTTTGGAAGGAGCCGGGAGCGCTGCCCAGGCCTGAGCAGGGCCGGCAGCCAGCGCAGTCACTTAACCCCTCTGGCACTGGACCCAGGGACTCCCGGGACCACCCGTCCCTGTGTGCTGCCTTCCCCGAGCTGTGCTCCCCGCCACCAGCCCCCTCATAGCCCACAGTGTGAGGAGCCAGCTCAGTGCCCTGACCCCCAGCAGTCACCGGACATGGGGAGCAGATGATTGGGTGCCTTCCACCTCCAGGGACACCCACCGTGCCTGGGGTCTCATCTTCATCGCCTGCTCCCTTCCTGTTCCTCCAGGACTGCCACGGGACACGGTGTTGGGCCTCCTGGGAGCCAACATCACTCTGACCTGCCAGGACGAGCAGCCTGCAAACGCCACGGTGCTGTGGCAGGTGGAGAAGCAGGGAGCAGCAGGGCAGCTGGCAGAGGGGAACACGCTGCTGCTGAGGCAGCTGCGCTACGAGGACTCAGGGCACTACAGCTGCTCCGTGGGGAGCCACCTGCTGCGCTCCCTGCGGCTGCTGGTGGCAGGTGGGTCCACGCTGGGGTGGGAATGTCCCTCTCAGCGCTGCCTGTGATGGCCCCTGTCCCCCAGCACCTCCCTGCTTTGCCTGCAGAGCCCCCTGAAACTCCCCAGGTGTCCTGCTACCGGCGGAGCCACGACAAGGATGTGCTGTGTGAGTGGCCACAGCAGAAGAAGCCGTCCCCAGGGACACGGGCAATGCTGTGGGTGAGGAGGAGGTGAGTGCTGTCACTGCATCCACCATGGGCTGGGACCCCAATAGGACAGAACATGTCCCTCTCCATGGACCTGGTGCCATCTGGGACCCCGTGGCTCAGGCTGTTTGCTTCTCTGCACACCCTTTCCTTAGCAGCTGCGGGTAGCTGGGAGTTCACAGCACAGGACGTGTTCCTTCCCTGTGGCACAGAATGAATCCCTCCCCACAGACCCTTTATCTAACACTGCCGGGGACCCCACAGCACAGCACATGTCCCCCACAGCTGCCCTGTGCCCAGAGCACCCTGCAGCCCCCCCTGAGCTGTGACCTCACAGGTTTGTGGCTGAGAATGCCACAGAGCAGCGGTGCCGCTACTTCTCCAAGGCACGGAAGTTCCTTTGCCGGCTGAAGGTGCCACCTGGCACTGATGACACCAAAAGCCTCGTGGTGTCCACGTGTGTCAGCAACAGCGCCGGTGGCTCGGCTGGCAAGGACAAGATCATCACCCTCAGCAGTGTCTGTGAGTGCTGCCCTGGCTGGGGGCTGGGAGCTGGGGTGGTGAGGGTGCAGGGCGAGGCCCTGAGCCCCCATTCCCCCACAGTGAGGCCAGACCCGCCGGTGAATGTGACAGTGCAGGCTCTGGAGAGGGCCCCACAGCGGCTGCAGGTGAACTGGTCCTACCCCCCCTCCTGGGACCCCCGCTTCTACTGGCTGCGCTTCCAGGTCCGCTACCGCCCCGAGCCCGCCCCGACCTTCATGGAGGTGAGACCCTGCCTGCTGGGACACCCCTTGGCCCTGGCCAGGCTGTCCCCAGCCCCGTGTCCCCTCCTCCAGGTGGATCAGGTGATGACTACGTGGCTCGATATCCGCGATGCGTGGCGTGGGACGAGGCACGTGGTGCAGGTGAGGGCCAAGGATGAGTTTGGCCATGGCACGTGGAGTGAGTGGAGCCAGGAGGCCGTGGGCACCCCCTGGACAGGTAAGGGGGGATTGTGGGGCCCTGAGACCAGGAGTTCAGCATGGACTCTCCCAGTCTCACACTCCCCCCTCTCTGTGCAGACCCTTGGGAGCTCACCTCTGAAATGGAGCCTTACAGCTCACAGGTAACAATGGTCTCAGCCTGGGAAGCATCACACGCTCCTGAAGGGGTCTCCTGTCCCCATGTGGACACGGGGACACCAGGGCATGAGGGCTGACCTGTCCCATTATGCCTCCCCACCTTTTGCAGGTCCCCACAGAAGATGACACCTATGGGGTGACACTGTCCCCCAGGCTCTTCGAAGAGGATGATGCTAATGGTGCTGGTGGTGAGGAAGGATTCCTGGGCTGGGATTGAGGGAAAGGGACACCCAGTCCCTTATCCTCACCCATTCTGTGTGTCAGGGTCTGTCATGGAATCCAGCACCCATCCTGTAGCATCCCCCTACGCCTTCCTGGTCACCGGGGGCAGTCTCCTCCTTGGCATCGCCCTCTTTGTTGGCATCGTGGTGAGGTGAGTGGCAGGGGGGCTGGCCCAGGGGGCTGTGTGTGCCCCCTCCCTGACCTGCAGCCTCTCTTCTCCCCTGCAGGTACAGGCAGATGTGGTGGACGAGCGGGCAGGAGACGAGCAAGGCAGAGGGTGAGGGACAGCACATGCTGGTCCCTCTGAGCCTACCCCCACCCACACTCAGTGACACCCCTCTGCTCTCACAGCCTGCCCCCTCAGCCCCTGGAGGGCTCCACACCACTCAGGCAGATTATTCCTCCTCAGGGCAGTAGCCAGGGGCTGAATGTGCTGGGAGATGCTTGGGGGTTGGATGGAGGGTCCCAGGGCTTTGATGTGGCTCTGGGAGCAGTTCCCCCCCCAATATCTGGTGGCTCTGTGGCTGGGACAAGCCTCTGAGGAGGGGAATCAATGCCATCCCCCATGGGGAACAGCTAGGAAAAACAGACTGGGTCCTGGGGGCACCTTCAGCACCAAGCTGGGATGGCCAGGAGTGACAGCACTGGAATTGTGGCTGCACCAGAGCTTGGGGGGCCTGGGACCCGGTCTGGGGGTCCCACAGGGAAGGAAGGGCCTGGTCCCTACAGTGCCACGGGGGTCGGGGAGGGAGGGCCTGGCTGGATCAGCCCCACACCTCTGCTGCAGCCCCCTCGGGGCTCCTTTTTAAAGCACACGTTGGGGAAACAGGACAATGGGGCTCAAATAAATGATTTGGATTTATACTGGAGTGGCTGCTGGGAGTGGGGTAGCAGAGGGGTCACTGCAGCCCCCCATTGTTTGGGAGTGTCTCCAGTGGGGTTGTACCCCCACTTCATTCACCTTGCTGTACTCTGTGCACCCCCACATGTACCCCAGGCTGTTCTCTGTGGTTCACTGGTGCCTCCCAGGCTGTACCTCCTGTGCTGTGCACACCTTCCTGCCTCAGACCCCCCAACCCTGCACCCCTGCCCTGTACCTCAACCCTGCACCCTCAGCCCTGTAGCTAGCCCTGCTTCTTCTGCTCTGCACCCCAACCCTGTACCCCAACCCTGTACCCCAACCTTGCACCCCAAACCCTGCACCCCAGCCGTGCCTCCTCTGCCCACCCCATGGTGCTGGGTTGTGCAACACCCCGGGGAGCTGCAGCTGCAGCCGGGCAGGAAACCACAGCTTGAGGGTGCTCAGGCACCCTGGGGAACAGTGTTCCTCTTCCCTGCTGCTGGCCCCCCCGCTATAAAGAGCCTGGCAGGATGCAGATGTGCTCCTGGGGGAGCCCCAGTACCCCTGGGCCCCCCAAAACTGGTGATTCCAGCTGGCACAAAGCCCATCTCAGGACCACTGCTCCCTCTCAGCCAACAAGTTTATTTTACTAGGTCATTACACATTCCAGTGTCACTGCATGCCCCCAGCCCGGGCACAGTGCTGGCACAGGGCGGGCAGGATTGTCCCAGCGAAAGGGGCACAGCCCTGCTGGAGTCCAGGAGCGGGGTCCCCTCAGGGCTGCAGACGTGCCGGGGTTTCTCTCACCGGACCCTTCCCGTGCTTCGTGCCCATCGCTGTCTCACGCCTCGGGGTGGGGAGGGCTCGCAGACCACTCGGGGGCGGCATCAGCCGGCGCTAATGCAGCTTGCAGTGCACGGGGTGCAGCAGGGCCATGTGCTCGGCCCCCTTGAAGGGCAGCTTCTCAGTGGAGTAGTAGTGCACAACTTCGGGGATGCTGGAGAAGACGCCGCTGGCCTGGCTCAGCGTGTACTTGTTGTCCTTGGTCTGGGCCACGATGATGTGAACGCAGCCCTGGCTGGTCCTGGGCGGCCAGCAGGCATCAGTGCAGCCGCCAGCCCCCCGGCGCCCGCCTGCCCCGCGGCCGTATCCACCCCTGTTTGTTCCCGTCCCGCTCTGATTGTTTCGGCTCCAGGGGCTGCACTTCCTCAGGAAGGAAACGCCGCTGGCGCTCCCGACAATGCGCCGGGGAGGGGGACACGCCGAACCCCCCCTCCGCCCCAGCCGCACACCGGGAGGATGCCGGGGTCCCCCCGCGGGTCGGGGGGTGCCATCCCTGGGGGTCCGGGTGCTCCCTCCCCATCGGGGTTTTTGGTGGGAACAACCAGGGGGGAAGGAACTCCCGCCGAAGCAGCGCCCCAGGGTGGGGATTCACCCCATCTCCCCAGTGTGGGACCCCCCCAGTTCTGTGGGCACCCCGACACTCACTTGAGCGCGATGGAGTACTTGCCGCTGCCGCTCTCGCTGGTGCGCACCAGGTACCCGGCCTCCCGGCACGGCTGCAGCCGGCTCTCCGCCTCCGCCCGGGTGATGGCCCCGTGGTACCAGCTAAGGGGACACGGAGGGGACGCTGAGCAGCGGCAGAACATCGGCAACTCCGTCCCTGCCCGCCCCGTTGGATCGGGCTCGCACTCACGGCTGCTTCTCCAGCGCCAGGGCGGGGTCCACCCGCTCCCCCTCGCTGTGCTCGGTGCCCGCCGGCTTCAGCATCTTGGGGGTCCAGCTCTTCTGGCGCAGGTGCTGCCGCGGAGGCTCCTCCTTAGGACGCTCCGAGCCCTCAAACTGGACTGGGAGGGACAAGATGTGAGCCCCCAAAGCCCCACCTGTGCTTCTGATCCCCATCCCCATCTCCATGCCTGTCCCCAGCCCCAGCACCTCCCCATTGCCAGTCCTAACCCCTTCTCCAACCATGTGCCTGAACCCATCTGCTCCAACGCCCCGCCATGACAAGGGACATCTTCAGTTACATCAGAGCCCCACCCAACCTGACCTGGCAGGCATCACCTCTCTGGGCAACCTGTGCCAGCCTTGCCACCCTCAGTCCAAGAAAATTGTTGTATCTAAAGTGCCCCTTATAATTAAAAACCGTTCCCCTTGTCCTCTTGTCACGAGCCCTGCTAGAAAGTCTGTCCCCATCCCGGCTGCCATCTCCACTCCCACCCCACGCCTGTCCCTTTCCCCCATCCTCACTCCCACCCTGTCCCTGTCCCCTACCTGACAGAGCTTTGACAATCTGCTCCTTCTTCCACTCCCAGGGCTGCTCGTACTCCCCCGCCGGGCGCTCGTCGTTCTCGGGCAGCCGCCCATCCCCAGCCCTCACCCTGCGCTCCGGGGTCCCCCCGGCCACCCCCTCCCCAGGCTCGTAGGGGGTGTCATAGAGCTGTGGCCCCTTCCCTGCCACCTCCTTGCCCCCCAGCCTCTTGGCAAGTTCCAGCTTGGGGCCCCCCTCCCCAGGCTCTCCGGGGCCATCCAGCAGCAGGATGGCTTTGACCAGGGGATCCTTGGAGCCACGACGACGGATTTCTGTGGGGAAGAGGGATGGTGGGTCAGGGATGGTGGGTCAGGGATGGTGGGTCAGGGATGGGGCTGTGTGTCCCCCAAGACCCTTCAATCCCACCACCAGCCCTCAGTGAGGGATGTGCTGGGGATTCCACACCGGCAACGCCCTGTTGGGAGCCAGCTCGGGAGGAGCTGGAGCAGGAAGGGGCCCATCCTCATCCTCATCCTCATGGCGCCTGCTCTGCTGTCCAGCCCTGGGGCTGCTGGCGCCACAGGCCCACGCCAGTGGGGCCAACTGGGCTCCATGGCAGAAGGATGCTACACCCCAAACTGGAGCTCAGCTGTGCGGGAGGCTCGCCCCTCCCAGCCCCCTGCTTCTCCCCACGGCGCCAGGCCTTGCCTAAACAGCCTGGGCTGCCCCGCACGGAAAAAAAAAAAAAAAATCAGCAGCAAATCTTTTATTTCCAGCTTCCGGCCCAGTCAGTTCCTGTTGTTGTGGCCAGCTGGACGGTGGCCACGCCGGCCTGGGTGTCGCTGGCTGGGGGGCACGTCCATGGGGAGCTCTTGGGGGGTGGAACCCTGGCATGAGGGGGCATGGAGGGCTTTGCAGTGGCCACAAGTGCCCGTGGGTGATGGCAGCAGGTCACGGACACGGCTCAGGGGCCGGCCAGCACGGGTCAGTGTCCGGCCTTGCTCCCACTCCTTATCTGGCCCCGCGCAGCCGCAGGAAGCGGCGAGAGCTTTCCTGTTCCCGGAGCCTCCTGAGCCGGGTGGCTCCGAGGGCAGCCACGGGCTCCTGCCTGGGGAGCGGTGCCAGCTGTGCTGCTGTGGCACGGCCCGGCGTGGCGCTTACCTGTGATCATCTGCTGGGCATCGTAGGGCTCCATGTACCCGTCGTTCTCCCCCAGGCGCTCGGCGTCCCGCTGCCCCTTGGTGCGTTTGGCATCGTAAGGGTCTGCGTAATCCTCCAGGATGATGACCTGGGCAGAGAACAGCCATGTCTGCCTTCAGGGGGCCGTGGGGGTCCCAGCAGGGGTGGCAGAGATGCCACCAGCACAGAGCCAGGCAGGGAACAGGCACATTGGGGTCCCCAGGGAAGGATGGAGGCTTATCTGGGTAAATGGAGCTGTGCCACAACCCCAGAGGATGCACCCAGTGGCACCTTTGGGTGGGGTAGGGGCAGTCCAGACCATTCCTACACCCCTCAGTGATGGTGAGGAGCCTGGGGCGAGCTCTGGGACCCTTCTGGGTGACAGCAACCATGCTGACTGGCTCCCAGTGCTCCCAAGGCTATGCAGGGGTGAAAGACCAGCTTCCCAGAAAAGCTTTGCATCAGCCTTTGTTTAAGCAGCAGATGAGCTCTGGGGTCAGGCTGGCTATGATGAGGGTGCCCGACGACCTCCCCACCCCCGGATGGGTGATGAAGGGCAGCTGGGATGAAGGCAGCTTTGATGGAATTTAAAGGCAATGAAGCCGGGCAGGATAAAAGGAAGAAGTCAGCCAGGCTAATGAGTCGGAGACCAAAGCAGTTCAAGTTTCCAGCGCTTCCCACATCTCCCCCTCCGCCCCCGGCTCCCGGTCCCTGCCTTACCGTCTCTGTCTTGGGGGGCTTCCCCTTGTCCTGCTCGGGGGCAGGCAGGCTGGCAGGCAGGGCTCCGGGGTGCCCCTTGCCGTTCTTCTCGGAAGCCTCCACTTTGATCAGGCGGTTGATGTAGGTTTTGGAGGGTCCCTCCTGCGTGCCTCCCTCCACTCGGGAATTCTTCCTCATCTTCCCGGTGGCGGCCTGGAGCAGACCCTGCAGGTTGTCCCGTGACAGCCGGCTGCCCCCTTCCTTG